CAAAACGTATCGCACGCGCAGATCGGCCAGCTGGTATGGAAGAATTCTTGCGGCCACGATTGCGGTGGCCGATGGGAACTGGCCCAACGTGTCTCAGAGGCCGCGCCAGCGCGCTGGCACCTCGGTGCAGGTCGGTGACTCGGGCGGGCGCGATGGCATGATGACGTCGACCACGGTGGCGACATGATGAGGAGAGGTGGCCCGCGATAGTGGCGACAACGACGGTAAGGCCAGCGATTGCGCCGATGATGGCGACGACTCTGGAAGGATTTGGACATGCGCTCGCGGCGACGCGCGCGCATGTCGCCCGCGTGCCCTGGGTGCATGACAGATCATCGCGAGTGCACGGCGCGGCGTGATGATACCGGTGGCTGTTTTCACGAAATCATGGGAATCGCGTGGCTTTCCTATGATTCCAGCAATTGCGCGCGGGCAGGACTTCTGAAGAATTGTGATGACAAATCATGGGGGCGTCCAGGTTGTTATGTTGATATGCTTGCAGGCACAAAGTGTTTGGTAGGAATTTGACATGAACGCGCGCGCGTGTGTGTTTTTTTTTTGGTGTGTGTGTGTGTGTGTGTGTGTGTGCGCGCGCGCGCGTGTGTGTGTGTATGTGTGAGTGTGTGTGTGGGGGGGGTGGGGGGGGTGGGGGGGGTGCGTGTGCGTGTTCGTGTGCGTGTGCGTTTGCGTGTGCGTGTGCGTGTGCGTGTGCGTGTGTGTGTGTGTTCTTTGTGGTATTTGTGGCAAGGGATTATAGACGTGGACGACAGGACGTCCATGTTGAGAGGAAAAGTGACGAAACATAATGATTCAGTATTTTTGTTCAGGTTCGGCTGGGACGTGCCAGATGGGGCGGCTATCGGCTGGGGAGTGGGGAGTAGGAGTATATTCTAATAAGGGATAAGGATAGGAGGAGGAGGCGGAGGAGGACGACGAGGAAGAAGATAAGGATAAGGATAAGGATACGGATGATGATGATGATGATGATGATGATGATGATGATGATGATGATGATGATGATGATGATGATGATGATGATGATGATGATGATGATGATGATGATGAGGAGGAGGAGGAGGAGGAGGGAGGAGGAGAGGAGGAGGAGGAGGAGGAGAGGAGGGGGAGGAGGAGGAGGAGGAGGAGGAGAGAAAAGGGGAGGAGGAGGAGGAGGAGGAGGAGGAGGAGGCGGAGGAAGAGGAGGAGGAGCAGGGGGAGGAGGAGGAGGAGGAGGAGGAGGAGGAGGAGGAGGAGGAGGAGGCGGATGAGGAGGAGGAGGAGGACGAGGAGGAGCCAACCACGAGGAGGAAAAGAAGGAGGAGGAGGAGGAGGAGGAGGTGCAGGAAGAAGAGCCGGAGCTGCTGCCGCTGCCGTAGCTGCTATTGCCACTGCCCCTGGATAAGCTGCCGGCGATATTGCTTGTGCTGCTCTGGTCTCCGTCATAATCATCTAGCAATCACCGCACCCTGAAGCAATGCGCAGCAGCAAGAGCACTCTGACCACTAGCACTCGTGGACGCGGCTTGTTCTGCGGCTTCGCCACATCTATGATCAGGTCGCTTGTCGTATTGTCTTCAGAAAGGTCGAAAGCCATACTGGGCAATCTTTGAACGAGCGTGCTGATCACCTGGCCGACTGCGGTGCCAGTGGAATCATGCGTGACGCGGTTGATGTACATCGCTGGGCGAGCTCTTCGAGTTAATCTGTGGCTTTACGAGGTCAGGCAGCCCTGGATCATTTTCAACATTAGCACTCGTGGACGGTAGTCCACGGGTCAGCCCTAGTCTGTACTACAATTTTGGTCGTTGCGCGCGCGCGCGTGTGAGACGCGCCAGCAGTGCGCCAGCTGCCCCCGATTGCCTGCAGCGCTCCGCCGCTCTCTGATGGTCCCCGAGGGCCCCCAGGTGGCTACAACACGGCCTCGGGCAGCCCGAGTATTGCTCCGAGACGATCTGGAGGGCGCGAGGACGTCCCAAGAGAGCCCGAACGGGGCTCCATGACAGCCCAAGACGGCCCGACGACGGTCCAGGTGCTTCCGAAGACGCCCCAGCTGGACCATTACGATCATCCCCCGAGGCCAAAATCATGGATTCCCTGGGGTTTTCGACTGTTTGCCGTGTTCTCGTCATTTCGGGCCACGAACGGCCCAAGACGGCTACAGGGCCACCCCAGATCTCCCCAACAAGACGGTCCAGGAGGCCTTGCCAAGTGCCCCAAGACGGCCCCAAGACGGCCCCAGAGGGCCCGAAGACTGCCCAAGAGAAGCCCAAAGACAGCCTCATAGTGCTCCCAATGGCCCAAGAGGGCCCTAGGAGCTGCCCAACAGGCATCAAAGCGAGCTCCAAGACGGCCCGAGACCCCAACAGGGCCCAAAGACGGCCCAACAGGCCCCCGGGACGGCCCAAGAGGGCCCAGGAGGACCACGATGACGGCCCCATGCTCTCCCCATGGCTGGCCCAGAACGTCCCCACACGGCTCCAGGTCCTTCCAAGGTCGCATCGAGATGGCCCAGGAGGCCCTCACGAGCCCACCAAGACGGCCAACGAGGGCCCCAGGACGGCCCAGAACAGGCCACGAGAGAGCCTAAAGAGCTTCAGGCTGCCCCCCGAGACGCCCCAAGGGCCCAAACAAGACACCCAGACGGCCCAGACCCCCATCATGGCCCGAAGGTGGTCCAGGGGGCCCCCCGCACGGCCCATGATGGCCCACGAGGGTAGCGAAGTCGGACCCACGAGACAAGAAATCAAACAAAAACCTTGTGTCTGTGTGTGTGTGCGTGTGTGTGTGTGTGTGTGTGTGTGTGTGGGCACTCCACCGGCATCCTGTCGGACACGGACGGCCCTGCCTCTGGCCGCGCCTCTTGCTGGCTGCTCCCTAGACGTGGATTGGATTACCACCCCAGGCCGCTCCCGACCACCCGGTGGCACAACGTTGCACATCGCCTTCGTGGTCCTCCTTCTCTTCTGGGCCCCCTCCTCACCATCCGGTGGCATAACGTTGCTCATCGACTTCATGGTGGACTTCCCCCCTCTGGACTTCGACCTGGTCGCGTACAACGTATTCTTTCGCAGCACTTGAGGATGGTGTTTACGGGGCGCCGTTGACGGCAGCACCACACCGCTCACCGTCCGGGTCTTCGCTTCCGGCTCCTGTCCAAGGCGCTCCTTTTCCCGTGCAGGCTCTTCGGCACCGCCTGCACCCCGGCCCGCCCTCCGGCCGCCTGAGGCCCCGCCCGCCTGTGCCCTGTCTCCCCAATTAGAGCTGTGCGTAGCCTGCCTAGCTTTTACCGGAAAAGGTTCGCTCTCGCCCCGCGGACCAAAAAAGTGTGTGTGTGTGCGTGTGTTCCCATGTTTCCGACACTCTCGCCATGATGGGCCCAGAACGGCCCCATGCGACTTCAGGCATTTTCGCGATCGCCCCACGACGGCCCACCAAGGCCCCGACGAGCGCAACAAGACGGCCCAGGAGGGCCCCACCCGACGGCCTTCTAGAGTTGCAGGTGGCCCCCCAGGACGCACCAGGAGCTGCCCACGAGGGCCCACACTAGGCTCCCAGACGGGCCCAGACCCCCAGTCCTAGCCCCAAGATTGCCCAAGAGGCCCCCCCTGGGCGGCCCCACGGGGGCCCACGAGGACACCGATGACGGTCCCACGAGATCTAACATCAGACGAAACCCTCGTGTTTTACAGTGTTTCCGCGCATTCTCTCCCGATGACGGGCCCAGAAAGGCCCCACGCGGCTTCAGGCACTTCTACGATCGCCCGAGATTCGCCCGAGAGGCCCCGACGGGCGCACCGAGATTGCCCAAAAGGGCCGCCCTCCCCCCATACAGGCCCCAGACGGCTTGACAGAGCTTCATGTTGTCCCCCGACGCACCCCAGGAGCTGCCCAAGAGGGCCCCAGCCGAGCTCCAACACGGCCCCAGACCCCCACCAGGGCCCGGCGACGCCCGTGAAGGCCCCCGGGACCCCGCGAGCTGTTGGAGATAAGGGATGGCCCACGAGATCACCCCAGCACATCTCGGGCCCCTTCACGCCGATTTGGGGTGACAAGATGGACCTTCTCCTGTCCTCCTTGCTTTAGCTTCCTCCTTTTGGAGCCTGCCCCCCCCTCTCCGGTACCGCTCTCCTCTTCCTCCTGCTGCTGCTCCTCCTCCTCCTCCTCCTTCTCCTCCTCTTCCTCCTCCTCATCTTCGTCCTGCGAGAGGATGCAGCGAGACTGGACTACGGGCTTCCTTCCCGCAGCCGTCGATGCCACGAGACCTCTCCAGGGACCACTCCGAGATACCCCAGACCCTCCCAAGACACTCGCAGGCAGCATCCAGCCCCAGAGCCCGGAGCATGCAGCAAACTCGAGAGCCTGGCGGTCCCGAGCGCGCACGTGCCGCCTGCGATCGGCGACACATGCGCGTTCGGCACCGACACCCTGATCTCTCAGCAGAGGATGTTCCGCGTCATTCTAGTCATTAGTCTCCTACAACGTTGGGATCAGCGTGTGCGAGAAGGGCGAGCAGTGGCAGCGGGCTTTGGCGCTGCTGAAGGAGATGTGGAAGGCGAATCTGGAGCCCGACGTCATCTCCCCTGCACTGCAGGAACACGCGCGGGCGAGACAGGCCTGGGCTCCGATTGTATTTTTGCGGCTCCCAGAGGCATTCAGTAGCCTAACGCGAGCCTCACCATCTCCTAGTTTATACCCAGATGTCAACACATTCTCCCAGACGGCTCACCATGGCCTCCAAGACGGCGACTCCAGAGTCTTCGAAAACGTCCCAAGCAGGCTCCAGTAGCACCCGCAAGAGAGCTCCAAGCGCAAAAACAGGCGATGCTGCGGAGGTGATTGGTTCTTCGTCAACTGGCTGTTTCGGCCCTCAGGTCGCCCAAGACGATCCCAGTGGCCCAAACAGGCCCCCGAGATCGCCCCCAGACGGCCCCATGCTCCTATGAGCACCCCAAGAAGGCCCCAAGATGGCCTACGAGGCTCGCCACGACATCCCGAGAGGCCCTGGAGACGTTCGACGAGGGTCCCCAAGAGAGCCCCAAGCGGGGCCCAAGAGGAGGACTCCGAAGTAACGTTTCGAGTTCTTGGCCCCCAACTGGCCCCCGAGAAGGTCAGCAAGCTTCCAAGTCACCCCCACGAGCTCCCTGGACGCCCTGGACGCCCTGGATGACCACCGAAGATGCCGGACGAGGTCTTCAAGTGACTCCCACGGAGCTTCCATGAGGCACCTCAGAGGCATCCCAAGAGCCCCCGACAGGCAGCCAACGCGTTTCTCACTCACGACCGAGGAACGGGTGCGAGAAACGGAGTGCGAAGTTCTAACCCACGACATGGTCCATACGCACGTCGAAGCGTTAGGGAAACCATTGGAGTGGTCGTTCCTGTACCCTCCATTCCACTTTCTCGTTCTGGTCTCCTCCTTGCTGGACCAGTTTTCTTCGCTCCTCGCACCCTGCACCTTGTTACTCGCACCTCTTTCATCGATCCTGGCTCCTCTGTTCTCTCTCGACAGCTCGCACATCCCTCCTCTCTCCTCCATCCAAATATATCCTCCCTCCCTCCTCGCACAACAGGGCTGCAAGACGCCCCCAAGACGGCAAGCCCCAGAGTCAACATCAGAAGTCCGCAGCAGGCAGCAGCAGCTACCAGCAGCAACAGGTAAGCAGTAACAACCATAACCAATGAACAACAATCACCAACACCAAACCACAGCAAGCATCAGGCTGCACTAGTCAACAGGAGGCGGCAGCAGAAACACGAAACAGCAAGCAAACAGCAGCAGCTATACAGCAGCAACCAACGCAGCAGCATCAAGCGGCGGTAAGCGGCAGCGAGCACATGAAAGACCAATGGAGCAAGCCGGAAGTGAAGCCAGCATGCAAGCAGCCGCTGCATGCAGCAGCACGCACCAGCTGACAGGCCGTAGCGGCAGAAGCTCTCCAAATTGCAGAACTAGCACCAACCAGGAGCAAACAGCAGCAAGCGGCAGCACGCTGCAGCGAGCGGAGGAGCAAGTCATGAAGCAAGCAGGCAGGCACGCCGGCCAGCTTGCAGGCAGGAGCGCCAGGGAGAAAGTTGTCAGGCCAGCAGGCGAGCAGCCATTTGCGTAGCACAGCACGCAGTCAGGCAAGCGGGCAAGCGATCTTCACCGCTGCACGCCAGTAAGCTGTCGTGGGCGTAAGTCCACTGATCATTCCCAGTCAGCTACAATGCTGGGATCAGCGCGTGCGAGAAGAGCAAGCAGTGGCAGCGGGCGCTGGCGCTGCTGAGCGAGATGCGGAAGGCGAAGCTGGAGCCCGACGTCATTAGCTACAACGCTGTGATCAGCGCTTGCGAAAAGGGCTGGCAGTGGCAGCGGGTGCTGGAGCTGCTGAGCGAGATATGGGAGGCGAAGCTGGAGCCCGACGTCATCTGTACTACGTGCGAAAGAGGCGAAAAGGTCGCGAGCTGCCCCCAGGCGCCCGACTCGCCCCCGCGCTCTCCGATCCAGAGCGCGCGAGGATGGCCCAAGACGGCCCGACGACGGGCCAGGTGCCTCCGAAAACAGCCAAACCAGACCCCGCTGACCGTCCCTCGAGGCCAACATCTCCTTTGGTTTTTCAACGGTTTTCCAAATTCTCGGCCAAGAACGGCCCCAGACGTCTTCAGGTCCACCCCAGCCCGCCCCAAGACGGTCCAGGAGGACCAGCCAAGTCCCCCAGGACGGCCCCAGAGGGCCCGAAGACTGCCCGAGAGCAGCCCAAAACAGCCTCATAGAACCCCCAGTGGCCCCCAAGACAGTCCCATGAGGGCCCCAGGAGCCCCCGAATGGGCGAAGAGCCCTCCAAGGACCACTCCCACATGCCCCAGAGTCTCCCAAGAGACTTCGATGGTTCCCAAGGAGCTCCCAAGGAGAGTGCCTCCAGCCACGGCACCCTTTCGCCGCCTGACGAACCGCAAACGCCCCCAAGAAAGCCCCAGACCCGCAGGGCATGCCCCAGACCACTCCGAGATGCCCCAGAGCCTGCCAAGAGATTACGATAGTTCCGACGGGGCTCCCAAGAGCGGTCCCAGGACCACTCCGAGATGGCCCAGAGACGCCGACAGGACTCCTGGGATTGCCAAGACACTCCGACAGTTCCCACGGAGCTCGCAAACCGGTCGTAGGACGAGACTCCCATAGTTCCCAAAGAGCTCCCAAGAGCGATCCCAGGACCGCTCCGAGATGGCCCAGAGTCGCCGCCAAGACCTCCCCTCCACGGCCGAACAGGGGTGACAGGGGGACCTTCTCCGCTCGGATCTCTTCCTCCTTCCTCACGAGGCTCCGGCCGCTCTGGGGCCTCCACTCTGCCTGTTAGGAGCGACAGGGGGGACCTGCAGTCCTTTCGACCGCTCCCCCTTACGGCCGATGGATAACAGCGGGGGGGACCTGCAGACACTGCGACCTCGGTACCACTCCGACATGGCCCAGAGCCGCCCTCAAGACCTCCCCTCCACGGCCGACTAGGGGTGACAGGGGGGCACCTCCTCCTCGGATCTCCTGCTCCCTCCCTCATCGAAGCTCTGGTCGCCCTGGGGCCTGCACTCCGCCTGTTATGTGTGACAGGGGGAGGGAGGGAGGGAGGGAGGGAGGGAGGGAGGGAGGGAGGGGGGGAGGGAGGGAGGGAGACTCTGGAGACTCTGCCTGATCGCGTAGCGATATGATTCAAATAAAAAGGTCACACGGATCAGCGCTCTTATCAACAATGATTCGAGATACGGATCACAACGGACCACGACATTAAGTGCCATCTCGTATGAGATCCCCAATGGGGGTGATGCGGTGTTCCAGCGCAGAACCCCACAACACGACACAGATCGAAGAAAAAACGGCTCACTGGGAGACTGGAAATGAACACACACAACAATTGTGTTACAACGCATTCGCATGGTTCCGATGGAAAAGGAAAGTACGGTGCGCAGGACATGAACTTGAACGGCCGTGGGAGAAATTGGGCACCTCCATCTCGCCTCGTAATGCGGCGAGGCATCAACTCGGGATTTGTATCACAACACCACATCAGTATGCTGCAACCAGCCGCAGGCCTGGCCGACCCTGGGAGCTGATCACCAGGCGCCAGGAAAGGAACAACCAGAGCACGAGATGCCCGCATTTCCCTTGCACGCCCAATCCGAGTCCAGTGCACCGACTCCGTCTGCACCGAAGGCGTCCCTCTGCGTTCCGTTCCCCAGGTGAGCGAGTGCAGTATATGTCTGGTGCGCCCATGTTCGCGGAGCATGTGTCGAGTACCGAAGAGAACGACCGCCCGCCAACCTGAGACGTTCCGTCGTACAGCACATCTGAAAGATGGTGAAATACAAAAATAAGAACTGTAACGCTGTGCACAATTCTGAAATCCCGTAGGAAACTACCATTGGCCAAACACTGGTACAAGCCCATTGCGACACGGTAAGTGAAGGCGCGCCGACGGGCTTGTATGTGAGTGGACCCCAACCCACTTTGGCACAGTAGGTGAGAACGTGCCGATGGGCATGTGGGGTCGTCTGCTGCCACTGCCGCCCCTCTCGCATGTACCGATCCAAGCATTGTAGCTGAAGGCGTTGGGCCTCGCTCGGCAGCGCCACCGTCCGCTGCCTCGGTTTGCTCGTCTGGCACGCGCTGTTCCAGGCGTGGCGGCACCAGCTCGTTGATAGAATAGAGCGGCACTGTAGATGACGCCACCAGCAAGCGCCAGGGAACCCCCCTTGCGGTGATGAGGGGTTGCAGCACTAAGGGTGACGACACCTGCGGGGGCTGATGGCTCCGGAACCTGCCGGAGGCTGAGTGCCCTAGGGCGGCCGCCTCAGTTCGTCCCACTTCGTCGCCCAGAAAAGCGGCAAACACGGTGCCGAAGCCTGGGCGTCCCTCAAGCGCCGACGTGGAGGCGTGGGACGTGACCATGACCCAGCGATAAGCCAAAAAGCGGGCGGCCGCTCCCCCCCCCGCCCGTGTGGGTCGAGGGGTTGCCGAAGCCCGCGGGAAGAGCCCACGGAGGAGCGGCGCCTGCGGGGCCTACGGATGGGACGGGGCCACATGTGCTTGAGGGGGAGGGGGGGAGGGAGGGAGGGAGGGAGGGAGGGAGGGAGGGAGGGAGGGAGGGACCGACTACGGCCGACTAGGGGTGACAGGGGGGACCTGCAGCCACCTCGCGGGCCCCCAGGGCAGCCCCTCGACCACGGACCACGAGACCCCTGCCCGGGCCACTTCCAGATGGCGCAGGCCCCATCCAGGACATGCGAGGGCAGCCTCCAGCCCCAGCATCTTCTTTGGAAGCCCCTGCTGAAGTCCCGACATCCCAGGAGCCCCAAAGGAAGCCCCAGAACCCAATTCGGGCGCCAAATCAGTCTCAAAAGGCCCAGAGCCTCCCAAGAGACTCCGAGAGTTTCCAAAAGCGCTCCCAATAGGGCATCCAGCCCCCGCACCTTTCGCCAAACAAGGCCCCAGAACCCTCTCTCCCTGTTCTCTTCCCTTCTCATTTTCCTCCTCGTCGTCCTCCTCCTCCTTCTTTTCCTCTGCTCACGGCTCAGCGTCTCTGGGTCCTCCACTCCGCGGGTCAGGAGTGACGGGGGGACTTGCAGACATTTCGGAGTCCCCATCCGAGTACAGTCGGCCCGGACTAGCAGGTCGACCCTGCCAGCTCAAGGGTACCCTTGTGTCATGTGCCTCGCGACACGTGCCTTCTTACACTCCTATGGCGATGTGGCCCTCGGTTGGGTCTCGTGTCCTCTCGCGCATCCTGTCCAATGAAGTCCGACTGTATCAGATGTATGCTGACTCCCTTCGAGCCCCCCCTCCAGGCTCCAGCTTACTCGGAAGCCCACGGTGGCCAAACAGGATCGAGCTTCACCCTGGCCGCTGGCTTCGGACCGCCTGTCGTGAATTTTCCACGGGCTCACGCTAGGTCTCATATCTTCTCTATGGCGGACATCAGCGCGTGCCAGAGGGGCAACACAGCGCATGTGGATACATGCGCCCCTTGGAGGGCCATTTTTCGACACCCCTCACGAAGATCCTGGCCCCCGAGCGTCACAAATCGAGCCCTCCGCCCAAAGACGCGCCGAAGTGACAATAAGAGGCTCCAAGGAGCGCCCAAGAGGCCCCCCTGGAGGCCCCCAACAAGGACCACGAGGCCTCCAAGAGCCTCCAACAGTCCTCTGAAGCATGCCCCCAGAGGCGGCCAACATCCTACATTTTTCAATGGTAGTTGACGGAGTTCTGCCTTCTCGCCTTCTCGGCTAGCCGACGCTCCAAGACTGCCGAAGACACCGACACGACCGCCCCAGGACGGCCCAACAGGCCTCCAAGCGTGTCCCCAGACGGCCCAGGGAGCCCCAAGATGGCCCAAGAGGCGCCCAAGACGGCCCCAGAGGACCCCAGCCAAGAGGGGGCCAAAGAACGGGGGCAAACCTTGGCATTCCGAGCCCTGGGCCCCCATACGACCACACAAGGCCCCAAGACCCCGCCAAGGGAACGCCAAGAGGTCCTCAGAGGCCCCCAAGAAGCCCAAAGCAAGCCCCACGAGGCCCAAAGACGGCCCCCAAGAGGCCCCAAAGCTGCCTCCAAGGGGGACCCCAGAGGCCTATGAGCCATTACCCAGGCACAGGCACGGTGGCGGATTTCGCTGAAGGCCATGAGGCTTCGTAGACGGCCCCACCAGGACAGCCCCGGAGGCCTCCAAGGCAGACCAGGAGGCTCCCAAGATGGCCCAGGAGGGCTTCCAGGAGAGCCCCAAGATGCTATGATCGTCCCATTCCCTGTGGGAAAAACACGTGTTCACTGTATCTTGTTTTTTCGTCCTCTCGGCGTCCAAGACGGCTATACAAGCCCCCTCGCCCCAAGCCGCGCCCAGAGGCCCCCGGGAGCGCCCCAAACCCACACGGCACCGGGACGGCGCCCGAGACGGCCCAAGACGCACCCAAGACAGCCCCAAGAGCAGTTCGGACTTGCCCACGGGACGGCTCCGAGAGGCGGCAGGGGGCGCCAAGACGGCCTCAGAGCACCCTTGGGAGCCCCAAGACAGCCCCAGAGGCCCCCCAAGGCAGGCCACGAGGCTCCCAAAAGCCCAGGAGGGCCTCCAGGAGAGCCCCAAGAGGCCAGAGTCCCATTCCTCACGCGAAACGGACATGTTCATTATATCTTGTTTTTGTTCGTCCTCGCAGCGTCATAGACGGCTATACAGGCCTCCCAGCTCGCCCCGCGACGCGCCCACAGGCCTCCAGGAGCGCCCCAAAACGGCTTCACACGGCCCGGGGACGGCTCCAGAGGGGCCCGAGACGGCCCAAGAAGCACCCAAGGCAGCCCCAAGAGCGTTTCAGAATGGTTCAAGACGGCCCCACCGCCTCGTTTCCAAGACGGCTGTACAGGCCCCCACCGCCCCGTCTCCAGGCCTTTCCATCTGTACAGTCTCAAACTCGGCGGTACAGGCCCCCAGATCGCCCCAAGACGCTCCCAACGCCTTCTGGATGACCTCAAAACGGCCCGAGACGGCCCCGGGACAGCTCCAGAGGCGCCCGAGACGGCCCACGAAGCACTCAAGACAGCCCCAAGAGCGCCCAATATCGGCCCAAGACGGCCCCAAGACGTCCCCAAGATGGTCCGAGAGGCGCCCGCGACGGCCCCACCTCGCCCAAAGACAGCCCAAGAGGCACTCAAGGCGGCCCAAGAGGGCCCCGAGAGACCAAGAGAGGCCCCTAAACGGCCCCCAAGGGGCCTTGCATCCTTCTCTCTTGGGGAGCGTCGAACTTCCAGCGTCGTCTTGGGGGCTTCTTGGACCCTCTGGGAGCCATCTCTGCGCCTTTTGGGCACGTCTCGGGGCGGTGCGCTAGAAAGGTCGATTCGTGTCCTCGCACTGGGGCCCGTTTCAGGGAGTTCGTGGGGCCTTCTGGGGCCGTCTGGGAAGCCTCCTGGTCCGTCCTGGAGACCTTTTGGGCCGTGTCGCCGCCCTTTTGCGGGCCTCTTAGGCCGCGCCCACCGGCCCCATTGTCACCACACTACCAAATGGAAAATATGATTCGGCCCCGGCGGAGAGCAGATGAAATTATCACGGCGACCCTCCCCGCAGAAGCTATAATTAACACAGACTGCGACGTGAGAAACAATTTCTGTCCACACCATGTTATGCCACTATGGGTGTGCTTCCACTGACACCGCCTCTACCACCGCATTTCTGCCTTCAGGCCTGCTTGCCTGCATTCCTCGCCCACCTCCCCCTCCAACGGCCACCTCCTCCATCCACGCCGTCCCCTCCAACCTCCCCTCACCTGCGAGACCCCGGAGACGCTCCACGTCCACGTCCACGTCCACGCCATGGCGGACAGATTCCGCGGCCGGAAGGCCGCGGGTCAGCCCTAGTCAGCTACAGCGCTGGGATCAGCGCGTGCGAGAAGGGCGAGCAGTGGAAGCTGGCGCTGGCGCTGTTGAGCGAGATGTGGGAGGCGAAGCTGGAGCCCGACGTCATCCGTACGGTGGGGGCGTTGTCTCAGGAATGTGCCCAGGAGGCTTCAGAGCCTGGGAGATTCCTCACTTAATGAGGGCGTCAGTGATATCCATGGCCAATCCACGATCGAAGTTCCATTGGCTTTGAGACCCTGGATTCCTTATCTCGACGAAGAAAAAAGAACCACATAAACATAAGCTGTTGGCGCTCCGCGCGGCTTTCTTGGATCCGCGCCTGGGCCCCCCCTGGCGGCGCCGGAGGCGCCGCCCCCGGCCCCGCGCGCCATGGATGGGGGGCTCCAGGCGCAGATCCAAGACGTTCGCGCGGAGCGCCAAAAAGGTTATGTTTGTGGCGTTTCTTCTTCTTCTTCTTCTTCTATTGTCCATTGGTTCCTTGTCCATGGGTTCCTGATCCACTGATTCCTGATGCACTTGTTCCTTCCTGATCCACTGGCTCCTGATCCACTGGTTCCTTATCCCTTGCTTCCTGATCCACTGCTTCCTTGTCCAGTGGATCCCCATCCACTGGTTTTCCTTCTCGAATCGGTTCCTTCCTGCTCCACTGGTTCCTTAGATCCACTGGTTCCTTCTATCCACTGCTTCCTTCTCCACTGCTTCCTGCTCCACCGGCCCCCCGACCCGCTGCCTTCGCCGTGCTCCGCACCTCCCGGGCCCCGCGCGTGCCGCCCGCCGGGGCCCTTCGGCGGCAGCGCCTCCCGCGGGTGCCGCCCGCCCCGCGGGAGGGCGCGCCACCCCTTCGAGGGGCCCGCCCGGGCCCCAGGAGAGCGCCCCTCGGCCGCGCAGGAGCCGGCGACGGCGAAGGCTCTGGAGCTCCATTGGCGTCTCCACGTGGAGACGCCAGGCAGGAACCAATGGATCGGGAACCAGTGGATCCACTGGTTCCCGATCCATTGGTTCCTGCCTGATGCACTGGTTCCTCGTCCATTGGGTGCTGATCCACTGGTTCCTTAGCCATTGGATTCCTATCCACTGGTGCCTTATGCATCGGTTCCTTCCTGATCCACTGGTTCCTGATCCACTGGTTCCTTATCCACTGGCTCCTCGGCCGCGCAGGAGCCGGCGACTGCAGTCGCAGGAAAACAAAAAAAACGCCCCAGACACAAACTTTTGGCGCTCCGCGCGGATTTCCTGGATCGGCGCTGGGCCCCCATCTGGCGGCGCGCTCCGCGCGCCAAGGAGGGGGGCCCAGCGCAGATCCAAGAAATCCGCGCGGAGCGCCAACAGTTTATGCTTATCATAGCCTTTTCTTCTTCTTCTTCTTCTTCTGCACAGAGGGTATGGTTGTGATGGGGTGTGGTGTGCGATCGGCACCTTTGGGGCCTGGGGGGCACGACGCTGTCCTCGTCGGGCCTCCTCGGGGCGCGGCGGGGAGCTCTACCGAGGTCCCCGCGCGCCCCCCAGGGTGCCCCCCCCAGGATGTCAAAGCACATCCTTTGCAAACCACACCCTTTGGAGTCGCCGAAAGAGGGCTCCCATACGGCCCAGGAAGGTTCCAACCAGGCTCCGCAAGGCCCCCCCATGACCTCCGAGAGGGCCACGAGGACGAACAGTTATCTAGCTTCTGTGCAGGTGTTTCCGCACTTCCTCTGGCGATCGCTTCTCTGGCCACAAGACGCCCAACCCGCCCCGAGAAGCCTTAGAATTTTTCTCGAGGGCGATCAGGGAGCTCCCCAGAGAGCCCCTACGACGGCCCTGGAGACCATCAATTCAGCTGCAGGGACCCCCAAGACGGCCGAACAGCCCCCCAAGATGGCCCCAAGGGAGGCCCAACAGAGTCAATTCTGAAGCGCTCCCCACCCCTCCCGCCCCCTCCACTGCCAGCAAGCCCCCAAAGAAGCACCCCAGAGGCTCCCAGACGGCCTCCGGGACGCTCCCAGCAGTTCCTTTGAAACGGCTCGGACATGCTCCTGAAACTACCTCACAGGCTCCTGGAATGCCCCAGCAGCTCCCTCCAAACGGCGACGATAGGCTCCCAGAAAGCATCAGGCGATTGGAAATCATAAAATGACCCCACACCTCTTGGAACACCTCTCGCGCGGGAGGGGTTGCAGAAAATGCCTTCCCGATGTAGCCGCGGATGCCCAGGAACGCTGTTTCTGCGACCCCTTCCGCGCCGAGCGTGTCCCAAGAAGTGTGGCGTTGTTTCCCCAATCGTCTTCGGCCTCCTCCTTCTTCTTCTTCTTCTTCTTCTGCCCGTCGTGGCTCGCCTCCGCCACAGTCGCTCCTCTTGTTGCTGCTGGAGCTGCCGCTGCTGCTACTGCAGCCGCACTGCTGCTGTTGCTGCTGCAGCTGCTGCTGTTGCTACTGCCCATGCCCCTGGATCTGCTGCCGCTGATACTGCTAGCGCTGCTCAGGACGCACTCAGAATCATCATGCAAACAGCGCACCCTGAAGCAGTGAGCAGCAGCAAGCGCACTCTGACAACTGGCACTCGTGGACGGTAGTTCATAGGTCAGCCCTGCATGCCAGTGAACATTTGTTAAACAAAACCAGCACGGGAATTCAAGCGGAAACGCTGTTGAAACAATGTGGGCGGGGCCCGACGCATCAAGTGGCGTGCGCCGATCAATGTTGCGGAACGTTATCTCGCACTCATTGCGAGGTATACGGCAAGCATGTCGATGGGGGAACGAAGCCGTGCGTGCGACTCAATGAGGGATCAGCTTGGAAGCACACCCAGGCATTCAGTTATATCGGCCTCTCAATGTTGCCACCAGGCGCGCAAACCTATGGAAGATACGTAGGAGTCTGGCCGTAGTGCACACTTGCCACGCCGCCAATACTGAAAGGCGGGCATCACTGAATGATCCTTTGGTGGGCGCCGTTCTTCGCTTGTCCTCCAGCAGGATGGTACCGTACACTGTCCCTTAACTATTGTAACGGCCGTGCAGTCGTCTACAATGCTGGGATCAGCGCGTGCGAGAAGGGCGGGCAGTGGTGGCGGGCGCTGCTGCTGCTGAGCGAGATGTGGGAGGCGAAGCAGAAGCGCGACGTCATCGATCCTACAATGCGGGCGGGGTTCAGCGCGTGGAAGGACCACGTCGTGGCAAAGCTGGGGTCGGCCCGCCGGGAGGGCTCGCCGCGGAGGGCCTGCGCCCTCCAGCGGCACAGGCGAGTCCAAGAGGCCTTCAACTTCGCCGAGGATGCTTCCAATGCGGTCGAGGATGGCCTCAAGATGGCCCAACGGCGTCCACACGGCCTCAGAGGGCCCCAAGATTGCCCAAGACGGCCTCCAGACGGCCGAAAACTTACCAAACGGCCACCGAGGCGCTTCAAGAGCACTCCAAGCAGGACCTCCCGGTGCAACAATTGAAGGTTTCCTGCAGCTTTTTCAGAAGGCTTTCAGCAAACGCACATGACTTCTGGGCCCTTGCAACGTCCGCGACGGCCCAACAGACCCCCGGATCGCCACATGCTGGTCCAAGAGGCCTCCAAAGATGATCCCAAGACGGCTCGAGAGATCCCCTAGACAGCCCAAGACGGAGGCGCCCGAGACGACCTAAGCTGCCCCGGAGGTGGCCCACTAGAGCCCCAGGTGCATCCCAAGACGGCCCCAAGAGCGCCGAAGAGACCCCCCGACAGATGCTACAACGCACCCCCCCCTGGTTGTAGCATCCGTTCGGTGCTTTCTGAGGGCCCTCTTGGGGCTGTCTTCAGGCCCTCACGAGCCCGTCTTCGGGCATTTTTCGAGGTCCTCCGGGTGCTCCCAGAACCTCTCAAGAGGCGCCCAAGACGACCCAGGTAGCGAGAAGCATCACCCTGCAGCATCAAGCACCAGCAGCGAACGGCAGCAGCGCGAAGCGGGCAGCAACAGCGGGAGCGCACATAAACAGCAGCAGCAAGCAGTAGGGAACAGCACGCACCGAGCAGAGCTGGCCATCAGCGGCACCCGCAGCTACAAGTAGCAAGAGCACGCAGCAGCGGGTAGCATTACCAAGAGCACGCAGCGGCGGCAGCAATCAGCAGCGCGCAGTAGCATGCGCGGAATGCGAAGTTCGATCCGCATGTCATCATGTCAGCCTTTCGGCAGGGCAGCATTTCCACCACGACGTGCCAGTTCGTGCAGATTGCGTGGACGTAGTCTTCGGGTCATCCCTAGTCTCTCCTACATGGCCGGCAGAGGCGCGTGCTGGAAGAAATTATCCCGGCAAAGCAACCGAACAGCGATGTGTAGAAGCATATCTGGAAGCATTCCCCTTAAGATTTAGGTGAGAATCCAGTTGCAGAATTCTGCTGTTCTCGCAGTCGCAGCCTCAGCCTGCCTCGGCTTGCCTCGGCCTCAGCCTCAGCCTGCCTCGGCCTCAGCCTCAGCCTCAGCCTGCCTCAGCCTCAGCCTCAGCCTGCCTCAGCCTCAGCCTGCATCAGCCTCAGCCTCAGCCTGCCTCAGCCGCAGCTTGCCTCAGCCTCAGCCACAGCCTCAGCCTCAGCCTCAGCCTGCCTCAGCTTCAGCCTCAGCCTCAGCCTCAGCCTCAGCCTCAGCCTCAGCCTCGCCTCAGCCTCTCAGCCTCCTGCCTCAGCCTCAGCCTCAGCCTCAGCCTGCCTCAGCCTCAGCCTCAGCCTCAGCTCAGCCTGCCTCAGCCTCAGCCTCAGCCTCAGCCTCAGCCTGCCTCAGCCTCAGCCTCAGCCTGCTTCAGCCTCAGCCTCCTGCCTCAGCCTCGGCCTCAGCCTCAGCCTGCCTCAGCCTCAGCCTGCCTCAGCCTCAGCCTCAGCCTGCCTCAGCCGCAGCTTGCCTCAGCCTCAGCCTCAGCCTCAGCCTCAGCCTCAGCTCAGCCTCAGCCTCAGCCTGCCTCAGCCTCAGCCTCAGCCTCAGCCTCAGCCTGCCTCAGCCTCAGCGTCAGCCTCTCAGCCTCAGCCTGCATCAGCCTCAGCCTGCATCAGCCTCAGCCTCAGCCTCAGCCTGCCTCAGGCTCAGTCTCAGCCTGCCTCAGCCTCAGCCTGCCTCAGCCTCAGCCTCACAGTTAGCTCCGGGCAATCAAAATGTAGCCTTGGAGTGGTGTTCTGGGAACACGAAGAACACGAAGTGGCCTACAATTGGCTCCGGGCATTCAAAATGTGGCCCGGGAGTGGTGTTCTGGGAACACGAAGAACACGAAGTAGCCTACAGTTGGCTCAGTGCATTCAAAATGTGGCCCGGGAATGGAGTTCTGGGACCTCGAAGAACACGAAGTGTGTAACGGTTTGCTTAAAACGACTTCCGCGGCTTCTCTCCGGATCCTGCCCGGACCCCCCTGAGGAGTCATGATGCTCTCTTTTGACCCCACTAGAAACCTATCAGTCTTCGCTGTTAGATAACAAAAAATATCCCGGCAAAGCAACCTAACAGCGATGTGTAGAAGCATAGCTGGAAAAATTGCCTGTGGTATTCATGTAAGAGCGCTGTTGTAGAATTCTGGTGTTCTCGCAGTCGCATTCGGATTCGCAGTGGCAGTCGCAGTGGCAACATCAGCGGCAGTCGCAGTGGCACTGCCAGTAGTTGCAGTAGCAATAGCTACACTAGCAGCAGCAACAGCAGCAGCAGCAGTAATAGTAACAGTAGTAGTAGCAGTAGAAGTAGTAGTGATGGTAGTAGTGGTAACAGTGAAGTAGTAGTTGTAGTGTGTGGAGTGAACGAGTAGGAGTGATGGGAGCAGTGGTAGTAGCAGTAGAAACACTGCTTTCGATAACGGTATCTCCAAATAAGATCTTTGTATAAATGCATTGAGGTCTAAACAAGACGCTGCTATCAACGAAGAACAGCCCGAACCGAAAATGCGCCGATGCGGCGTGAGTTTCTGAGAGCGTGGATGTGGGCTCGCCCAAGCTTCGCTCTGCAGATGGAGGGGGGAGGGGGAACGACATTCCCGACGTATTAGGTGCTCGGGGGCAGGGGGCCCACGCCATGAAATGGAAGGGGGCGGGGGACGCCATTCCCGACGCCATTAGACACTGCTATAAACAAGACACTGCTGTTCTGCTGCTTCTCCGTCTTTGTCTGACTCTTTCTCCTCGTCAGATTCGTCTCCCGCCTCGTCGTCTCTGCCCACCTCCGGCGCCCTGGATGCTGGCCCCAACAGACGTACCGGGGCTTTGTCGGCACCGTCCACTGGTTGCAGACAAGCCCGGATGTGGTCTGGCACGCCGTCCTCCGGCAGCCGTGTCGGGGCGACGTCCTCCCGGACGGACACCTCGGAAAAGGTTGCGCACTGCTGCTTGCGCTCCCTCACGATGCGCATGTACTCGGCGCGCTTGACTGTTGCTCAGTGCGCCTTGCTGAGATTGTGCGCGGCGCCCGAGAAGACGACGTTCAGAGAGTCCACAAGCGCGCCTGGCGCCGGGGGCAGCTCCATGGACGGGATTTGCGCCGTGGGCTGGGCGAAGAGGATGGCGTTGCCCGAGATGCCTTTCTGCTGGACATCCGGAGCGCCCTTGCCGTGACGGACTTGCTTCCAACAGCATCGGCCAAGGGACGCCAGCATCTTAGTGGCCTTCGAAGCGCCGCGGACGTGCATGAGCTCCCGGCCGATCCAGTTGTCGTTGACCAGGGCGTCTAACGGCATCTTCGGTTTCCTGGCGCACAGGTCAGTGAGGCACTCCCAACAAACCCACACCAACGCGTTGGCATCTCCCACCCCTGCGCACGGAGGCCTCTCGTCTGCAGGCTGAGAAGCTCCGCCGGGCCTGTCGGCAGCAGGCTGAGAAGCACCGCATGTGCTCGCCGTTGCTTGCGGTGGTGCTAACACAGGGACTCTACGGGAGTGCAGCAGCCACCGCCACTCTGGGTGCTCTGGATGCTGAACGCTGGACGCGTGCAGCTGTTCGTGCGGGATCAAAGGCCACCGCTGCCTGTACCTGTCCACGTCCAGGAGCTTCTGCACGAGCTCCGGGGGCTGCGGGCTGCAAGTAGTACACCCCGCGGTGCTTCACCAGGGTCCGCGCGGGTCGCGCATTCGCCTCGCCCTCGGACGCGTCGTCCTGGTCGCTTGCAGGGCCCGCGCAGTGCTCGGATACACGGTCCTCCGGCACTGCGCCAAACAGGCTCAGTTTGTGGCGGTGCTCGAGGTAATCTTTCTGCGCACAGACCACGCAGGCTGCCTCGCATCGGTGTACTGCCTCGTTGCCCGAGAAGCGGTTGCCCTTGCTGCCCGGGTGACAGAATTGCTGGAAGTGAGCAAAATTCTGCACCATGAGCTTCTTTTCTTGGGCGGCTATCGGCCTGCAGCCAGCCTCCGCCATCAGGAACAGCACCCGTTTGCGGTATTCCGCTTCGCCCGCGTGGTCCTGCTGCTTGTGCCGCGCAAAGTCTTCCTCTGTAAGAAAGTCGCAGTCGCAGGGCTGGCACACGAGCGGCCCGGAGAAGACGCGCAGCTGGTCCCCCTCCACCTCGCCGCCGGGAACGTAGCAGCTCTTCCCCGCGGGGGCGGCCGACGCCTTGCGCACCCGCTCCGCGCACCGCTGCGCGAATTCCGTGTGTTGCGCAGAGAGGCTGGACACAAGCTCCTTGTAGGCGGCAAGGCGCCGCAGGATTGCCTTGGTCCGGATGCCACTCTCGAGCATCAGCAGGTCCTGGTCGATCCTGTTCTGCGCCTCCTCAGCGAACCCTTCCATGGGGTTTGGAAGGCCCTCCGCCTCCGCGATGCGAGTCTTTGTTGTGGCTTCGCTCTCCGCTTGCTTGAAGGCCTGGAGCTCGGCGTCCTGCTCCGGGGAGAACTGGTTGGCCTTCCGTGCTTTCCGGACTTTCTCTGCCAGCTGCCGCTCTGCGAGGCTACGCCCGGCATGCTCCTTCGGGTGGCGGCCGAGGTCTCGCACTTGCTGCATGAGCTCCTCGGTCTTGTCTCGCTTTTGCTGCATGAGCTCCTCGGTCTTCTGCTTCCGCTTGAGCTCCTCGGTCTCCGTCTGCTGATCAGCACAGCCCAGGGCCCGCAGTTCATGCAAAATGTCTTTGGGGATGCGGTCGCGATGGTCCGAGAAACGTTTGGCCAACTTGTTTTCGGCCCGTTCTTGTTCGGACGTTCCTGTATTTCGCTTCGGTATCCGGCCGAACTGCTTCACGTGCTCGACGAGCGTTTGCAGAGGACCGCTCAATGCAGCGCGCTGAGGAGCAGCGCTGTTCACTGCCGGAGTCTGAGGAGCACCGCTGTTCAATGCAGCAGGCTCAGGAGCACCGCCGCCAGACCGAGAACTACCAGCATGTCCTGGCATGCGGCCGAGGTCTCGCACTTGCTGCATGAGTCACGTGCTCGACGAGCGTTTGCAGAGGACCGCTCAAGGCAGCACGCTGAGGAGCAGCGCTGTTCACTGCCGGAGTCTGAGGAGCACCGCTGTTCAATGCAGCAGGCTCAGGAGCACCGCCGCCAGACCGAGAACTACCAGCATGTCCTGGCATTAAGGTGTGCAGTAGGCGCTGCGCAGTTCCTTTGAAAGGGAATCTTCGAAAGCAGGGCTGTAGCCAAGAAGGCTACGGGGAGGCTGATGAAGATGATGAGTCTGTGACGCTGTGAGACCACAGACGCTTGATGATGACGATCTTGATAGTGCTGCTTCGAGGAGGGAAAGAAAGAAGGAGAGAGAGAGAGAGAGAGAGAGAGAGAGAGAGAGAGAGATGGGATCGAGAGCTCCCGGAGGGGGGGTGTGCCCATCCGAGGGAACGGTGCACCCCCCCCCTCCTCAGTACTGGCGACGAGGATCAAGCTGTTTAGGGAAAGAAGAAGACCCCACCTCCCCCTATCCTCCCCCGCGGCCTGAGTGGACCACCCAGGCCTGCGGAGGACGTCATAAAGGGTCGGGTACCCAGTACAGAAATGAAGGGAGAAAGGAAAGGGAGGAAAGAGTAAGGAGCCTCCCTCGTCCTGCTCCTCCTGCTCCTCCTGCTCCTCCTACTACTGCTACTACAAGTATTAGATTCTGGCGGAAACGTCCAGTGCACGATGACGCCTGGGTCTGCCGTCTTCCCCTGCACGATGACGAACAGAACAAACCGGCAATCGGGTGGCGAGAGATATGACGGGGACATCCAATAAGCAAAATGTGGCCCGAAGAACACGAAGTGGCCTACAGTTGGCTCCGGGCATTCAAAATGTAGCCCGGGAGTGGAGTTCTGGGAAGCCGAAGAGCACCGAGCATCAAAAATGTGGCCCGGGAATGAAGTTTTGGGAAGTCGAAGAGCACGAAGTGGCCTACGGTTGGCTCCGGGCATCCAAAATGTCGCCCGGGAATGGAGATCTGGGAAGTCGAAGAGCACGAAGTGGCCTACAGTTGGCTCCGAGCATCCATAATGTGGCCCGGGAATGGAATTCTGTCAAATCGAAGAGCACGAAGTGGCCTACAGTTGGCTACGAGCATCCCAAATGTGGCCCGGGAACGGAGTTCTGGGAAGTCGTAGAGCACGAAGTGGCTTACACTTGGCTTCGGGCATTCATCAAAATGTGGCCCGGGAGTGGAGTTCTGGGAGGTCGAAGGGCACGAAGTGTGCGACTGTTTGCTTAAAACAAGCCCGGCCCTGAGCCCGGCCCTCGCTGTCCGGATGCCGCCCAGACCTCCCTTCTGAGTCATCAGATGCTCTCTTTTGACACCATTAGAAACCTATCAGTCTTCGCTGTTAGGTAACAAATGTCAGTAGGGCCCTCCGGCGGGGCCCCGCGCGCTCCCGGGCGGCCCCGAGGCGCTCCACGACGGCCGCGGAGGGCCTCCCCGGGGAGGCTCGAGGGCCACGGAGGGCCCCAGGACAGTCCACGAGGGCCTCCGAGACGGTCCCAAGAGCGCTCGCAGACGCCCAAGATGGCCCCCAGACGGCCCAAAGAGGCTCCCCAAACTCGGGTCGGGCGGAAGGGGGGGTTTGGGAAAGGGGGGGGGTACGAAATCTGCTGCATGCAGCTGGTTTCGGCCCGACCGAGGGGCTCATTCCTCGAGCCTCCCGGCGCCGGGAGGCGCCGGGAAAATCAGCTACGCGAGCTGATTCTCAACCCCCCCCTTTGCTATCCCCCCCCCTTTCGCCCGACCCGAACTCCGCGCGAAGTGGACTCCAAGAAGAGTCCCGAGAGAGCCCGCACAAGCAAACATCGTCCCAATCCTTCCGAGAAGCGCACATCTTCGCAATTCCCGTGCTTTTCGTTTTCACAGCGTCCAAGAGGACAATTGACGCCCCCAAGATCGCCCCAAGACGCCTCAGAAGCGCCCAGAGACGGCCCCAAGACGGCCCCAGGACGGCCCAAGACGGCCTCAGGACCGCTCCTGAGGCGCCCACGACGTCCCAAGAGTTTCCCCAAAACCCCAAGGCAGCCCGAAGAGCGGCCAACGACGGCCCAAGACGGCCCCAAGGCGGCCCCAAGCTTGCCCCAGCGGCGTCCAAGACGGCCGCAGACGGCCCTAAGACGGTCCAAGGGGCACCCAAGACGGCCCAAGAGGGCCCCAAGAGGCCCCCAGGAGGCCGCAAGACGGTCCAAGGGGTCCCAAAAGGCCCCCAGGAGGCCGAAAAGAAACTCCGAGAGGCTCCCAAACGGTTCCCTAGGAGAAGGAAGCGCCCGCCATCAGTGGCCGCATAGATAGCGTTGCTCTCCTTCGTGGGTGCGGGCGCGAGCGAAAGAGCGCCGAATAACGCACAGCAACATGGGCGCTACTTCCCTTTGCTATTGCCTCCCAGCTCCAGGGCGCCCTTCGCCGCTGCCGCCCAAGTGAGGCGAGATACACCAGAGGCCTCCAGGGAGCGCAGTCCCCAACGCAGTCTGATCCCACAGGGGCGCGGAGACGGCGCAGGACTTGCCTCCCTGCGCGTTCACAGTGAGCCCCCATGCACAGTCCACCGTGCGACATTTCGAGTGCCCTGGGACAGCATCGATTTCTTCCGTGGGCACGAAGCAGAGCAGCAGCGACGGCACACAGCAGCAGCAAGCAGCGGCAGGCAGCGGGCAGAAGCACGCACCAAGCAGAGCTGGCCATCAGCAACAACCTCCAGCCACAAGCAGCAAGAGCACGCAGCAGCGGCCTCAGGCACTATCAAGAGTCAAGAGTACACAAAAGCGGCAGCAAGCAGCAGCACGCAGTAGCATGCGCGGGAAGTGAGGTTGAGCCCCACAATCAGATGCCAGTTCGTGCAGAGTTCGTGGACGGAGTCCACGGGCCAGTCCTACCGACGTCGCCAGCCTCCTTCTGGTGCCCACAGCCCACGACGATGACGATCACCACCACCACGACAACGACGTCGACTACGACGGGTACGACGGCGGCCTCGCGGCGGCGACTACAACGACGCCGACGACGGCGGCCCCGCGACGGCCAAACTGCTGGAGCGCTACTAGAGCTCGGGCACGAAGGCGCGGTCTAGCTGCCGCCGCCACGGCCGCCGCCGTGCTTATAGGTTTTCGGCAAAATCTCCGCCGATCCTCCGAGAACCATTCCAGAAAGATGTCGTGGACGGAGTCCGCGGGTCAGCCCTAGTCTATACTACAATACCGGGATCAGTGCGTGCAACAGCCCCTCGAGTGGACTCGGCCCGGCCCCCGGCGCTCCTGGGGCGCTCCTGGGGCCCTGGTCCGTCGCCGGCGCTCCCGGAACGGCCTTGGTCCGTCGCCGGCGCTCCCCGAAGGGCCCTCGCCCGCTCGTCACGGATCCACGAGAGCCTCGAGCGAGCTCCGAAACAATCCCCCTAGGTCCCCTACAGGCCCGAGCGGCCCCAGAGGCTCTCTTGACGATCCCGAGAAAGCCTCACGAGGCAAAAAACATTAATTTTCCATTGATTTTTGACGATATTTCCGGTTCGGGCTCTTTCCAGCCGGAACGGCCCCAGAGGCGCCGCGACTCGTTTCAAGACCGCCCATGAGGCCCCCAAGAGAGCCCCAGAACGGCCCAAGAGTGTTCCAAGACTGCCCAAGGCGGCCCCAAGCCGCCCCAAGAGAGCCCCAAGAGGTCCCCGAGACCTCCCGTGAGGCCCCCAAGAGAGCCCCAGGACGGCCCAAGAGTGCCCCGAGACTGCCCAAGACGGCCCCAAGCCGGCCCAGGAGGGCCCCGAGACGGCCCCAAGCCGCCCCAAGAGAGCCCCAAGAGGTCCCCGAGACCTCCTATGAGGCCCCCAGGAAGGCCCCAGGACGGCACCAGAGTGCCCCAAGACTGCCCACGACGTTCCAAGCCAGCCCAAGACGGCCCCAAGAGGGTCCCCAGACACCCCCAGGAAATCCCAAAACGGCTAGACTGCTCAAGACGGACCCAAGCCGACCTACGGCGGCCCGAAGAGGCCCCCGACGGCTCTCAAGAGAGACCCAATGCAGCCACAGGAGCTGCCACGACGGCCCCGCAGATGTCGGCGCCAGCTCCTGGAGGTACAGAGCCCATACCAGCACGTTCGGGGAGGGCGAGCTGTGGCATCCTGCCGTGGCGCTGTTCCTCCCCGTTGCCAACGCGGCGAACACTGACTCCAGGAGCCGTCGTCGCCGTCGCCGTCCGTCGTCTTCGCGGGCGATCGTCGTCGTCCTCATCGCCGAGTCCCTCCTCCCCTTTTTCCTTCATCTCACCTCCCTCCTTCCCTTTCCCATTCTCGTTCACCTGCCGCTCTTCGCGGGCGAGCCCGACGTCATAGCGGCGGTTAGCTGCGACCCTGGATGCCCCTCGGGAAACGGCGGCCGTTCGCCCTGGCCAGGTCCACGCGGGGAGCAGCAGAGTCCATGGTCACGAAGCCTCCCGCGGGAGCTCAAGGTACTCTTGCATCCCGGTGCTATCGGCCATGGGCCGTCTGCCGCCACCCCTCGTGCACGCTCCGTCTTCACTCAACCCAGAGCGGCTGCGGGGAGTAGCAGAGACTACGGGCACGTGACCTCCCACGGGGGCTCAGGGTTCTCTTGCATCCCGGTGCTGTCTACAAGAGCGGCGGCGTTCGCCACGACCCTGGATCCACACGGGGAGCTGCTGGGACTACGGGCACGAGACCGCCGCGACCCTGGATCCATGCGTGGAGTAGCAGAGACTACGGGCACGGGACCTCCCACTGGGACTCAGGGTACTCTTGCATCCCGGTGCTGTCGCCTGGCCGCGTGCCCGACCTGGCTAGGTCTCAGTTTTGCACTTGCACTCCGGAGCCTTTTCGGCTCCTCTTAGCACGGGGTTCGCCGCCAGCCCGGCATGGTAGGTGTGACGAAACGTCATGTCTGCTCGGTCAAGCACTGTGGCTCTCGCACGCGGAGCCTCGACCCAGCGGACCACACGCGCCCGCTGTGCAAGGAGCATGGCGGCGAAGACGCGGACGCGTCGGCGAGGCTCGTGGGCCTTCGGCAAGGGGCCCGCAACGTCCACGAAGAACAGCTTCACCAGGTCGCCGTGTTGGCTGCGTTCGTGAACGCTTCGGCGGTAAGCACAGTGGAAAAAGTCCACGGCCAGCAAACAGCGAACGCACTCTTCCAGAAGGTGGCTTCGGACCCCCAGGTCCTGAAGTTTTTACAACACGACGAGTGGACAGAGCACGCTCGTGGCGAGGCGAACTTCGCTTTGAACGCCACGGACTTGTACCTCAGGGACTTCCTCCACCACACCCAGTTCTCTGAACAACTCTTGCACCTGTTCGTCACACGGCTACACTTCAACGCGGACGGAGCCAGCAAAACCCTTTTTTCCGACTACGAGCGGATGTTTGGACAGCCTCTGGCCGAGGGCAAGACGTTCAGTCGAGCCACCTTCCTGGAGGCTGCCCTTTCCCACAACATCCCAAGCCACTACCCGCACTACAAGCTGCAGCTGTACAACAACGAACGCAACCGACAGCTCTCCAACGGCACCGTCGCCGACACGCACGACACGAAGAAGTACGGCTTCCAGTTGCGCGTGTTGG